AAGGGGAGGGGGAGGAGTTAAAAAATTTTTGTGTATAGGGTTAAGGACACAAATGTGACGCAGCGTGGTGAAATGAGGCGTTCATCAAAATAATGAAATCGAAGGAACAGGTACTTTTCTGCCAGTTTAGCAGCATTAAATTAATCTATTTTTTGTTGACTCAACACCTTGTATGCCCATATATATAAACATATTTCCAAGTGAATTTTTTGAAAAATCTTTGTTAAAGCCACAAAATATGTCATTTTTCCGTTTACAAGGACTCTCAAGCTATTGAAAAGACCAAACTTTGGCAGCCATTTTCTTGCTAATTCTACCTTTGAAACCAGGCAACCCCCACCTCCTTAAATTACAAAAATCATGACTTGTATCCAAGATAAAGGGATATTTATTTCATCAAAAGCAAGGCAAATGAACAAGCTTTGAGATGATACCAATATCTCCACATGCCGAAAAATTGATAAGCGCCTGTATCCACCGTGTCGTGACACAAATAATGAAATAGCAACACTGAGACTGACCCAGAACTGGACAATTGACTGACTTACCTTGGCAGCCTCCAGCTGAGAAGCGAGTTTCTTGGTCTCCAGCTCTTGTCTGTTCACGTCCTGGATTCTCTGTGTCATCTTCTCCGCCCTCTCTCGCTCCGTCTTCAGCTGGTTCTGGAGGGCTTTCCTCTCCGCCTGGAGGGACACACAGACAGGGGAAAGAAAGATGACACGTACGGGAATGGTATAAATAGTATGGGTTTAACACCTCTATCAACACTATTAGGTTATTTAAGACGTTGAACCTACGAGTTTAACGTTCCTATCTGAAAGGACCTAGCCAAGCGAGAAGTTCATGTGAAGTGTCTTTCCAAAGGACACAATGTCGGACCAAGCTGAGGCTCAAACCCCTGAATTTGCAACCTTATGATTACGAGTCCGGTAGACTAACCACTAGACTACAGTGACAGTTGGTAGTCCAGTGGTTAGGCTGTTCCTCTTGCATAGCTCATCAGAGGCCCGAAACTGTGTCCTTGGGAAAGGCTCTTAACATGAGTTTTTCTCACACCACCCAGGTAGGAATGAGTATCCATTTATAGACAGGGAAAGAACTTGCCAGTTTGTCAGTGTTTAAACACTAGAACCACTGCTTGCATTGTACGTTTTTCAGGAAGCCAAGAAAGTTTCTGAAAGTTCTAAGGTCTGCAGGGATAATGATACAGATTGTAAAGTGCACAGAGCTTGCTGCTGAGCAGGGACTTAGCGCTGTTTATTAATTTTTATAAATTTATTTTTCTGTATTCATTTCAAGTCACAAATCATCACTGCATGGTGCACAGAGCTTCCCTCACCTCGGCTTTCTTCTCGGTCTCGCTCAGCGTCTGTCTCAACTGTTTGGCTTCTGTCTCAGCCTGGCCAAGACGAGACTGGATCTCCGGGTCACGCTGTCGGCTGCGGTGAACCTCATCCTGAAGGGTGGAGTTCAAATCCTCTGTTTTCCTCAGGGAGTCCTCCAACTCAGACAGCCTCTGTAAGGAAAACACGCATGTTTGTTATTTTTAATAATAATAATAATAATGATAATAGAATGCATTTATATAGTGCTCTATTTCATACTAGTATAAGCTCTGAGCGCTTTCCACCAATCACATAATCATTCAGACAAGAAAAATTATTTCACAGAAACAAGAAAAACCAGTTCAACCACATAAAGAAGAACTTTCACAACCATACATCAACTATATATAGACACGAAAGGACAGTAGTAAAAAAAAACCCACATATTTTACTTGGACGATCAAAAACAAAACCACTTGAAGGACACAGGTGAAGCCATAAGAAGGTCTAAGCAACCTAACAAAACATAAAGCAAAGAATTATTAAAGGCACCATTTGAGGAAAGGGAAAGACGCAGCTATCTACGGCAAGTCGTGGCATTTGTGATCATTACAAGTTGCCTGCTATCAATTCCCTTTACTTTTCTCTCCAGACCAGACTAGCTACGAGGTCTATAACTTCGCTTCCTCCATGTATACTATAGGTTACCATGTGTTTAAATAGTATGCAGGCAGACAGGTAGGTAGGTAGGTAGGTAGGTAGGTGGGTGGGATGGTGGGTAGGTGGGTAGGTAGGTGGGTAGGTAGATAGGTAGGTAGGTAGGTAGGTAGGTGGGTGGGTACGTGGGTGGGAGGGTGGGTAGGTAGGTAGGTAGGTAGGTAGGTAGGTAGGTAGGTAGGTAGGTAGGTAGGTAGGTAGGTATGTTTGCCATTGTAAGCCAAATGATCCCACAGGGATTTTTTTAAAGTGCAATATAATATATAATTTTAAAAAAAATTAAATCAAGTTGCCACGACATGTCCCTGACCTTCTGCATCCATCGTGCGTTGTTGGCCTCCCCCTCCAGGAGCTGCAGCTCGGCCTCCATACGGCGGATCTTCTCCTCTAGCCCCTCCTTCTCCTGTAGGAGCATCTCAAACTCCTGCTTGTGCTGCTTGCTCTGACCTTTGACATTCTCCAGGTAGCCGGACAGACCCGACACGATGTCGTCCAGCTCATGGCGCAGCTCCTCGTTCTGCTCAATCTGGTCTGTGGGGCAATGAGGGGGCCGTTAACTGTTGTTGTTGGTGTTGTTGTTGTCGCTGCTGTTGTGAGCATTTGTGAGCCCAGGTTGTTAGTGTGGTTATTGTTGTCATTGCTGTTGCTGTTGTTGTTGTTGTTGTTGTTGTCGTTGCTTTTGTTGTTTTTTTGTGGCTATTGCTTTGTTGTTGTTGTGTGGATTTTACTTTTTTAAAATGTAACACTGAACAAAAACAAAACAAACAGACCACACACACCAGATCATACGCCACCCACTCACCAGCAGACAGTTGTTCCTCCAGTTTCTTTATGTCAGACGTCTCGCGTGTGATGTTGCTCAGCGCTTCCTCCAGCTGTTTCTGTAGCTCTATCTGGTGGTGACTTCCTTCGTTGATCTGCGACTCTTTGTCGTGCATCTGTCTCTCCACGCGGCCCTGAGACACACACGCACAGGGACTAGTTCAGGCTGCAGTCCAGTACGCTAATGAGTTTTTATTTAGGACAGTTCTCTTTGTTTTGTTTTAGTCTAAGCAGCTGATTAAAACCTGTCAATTCTTTGCCATATCGATCGGAAAAGTAAAGTAAAGTGAGTTTTAGTTTAAGAAAGAGTTTTACAGCACATGCAACAGAAATATATCATTATTATCAGTGTCAAAGATTAGAGGTGTTATACTTAACATTAATATACAAAGAAAAGAAGGATAGAAAGAGTTTTACAGCACTTGCAACACAATCAGATCTTTAATATAAGTGTTTAGTTTTAGTTTTAGTAGAGGTTTTACTGCGCTCGCAACTGCATAAGGTCATATGAGCGCCAGAAGCTTAGATTAGAGGTGTTACAAGAGAGTAACAAACATAAAAAAGGAGAAGGGGAGATAAGGACGACAGATGTTTCATAGGAAAGAAGAAGCAAACCACACCAGAGCACCCGCCAACCACCCACTAATATAAGTGTCAAAGATTAGAGGTGTTATACTAAACATTAACATACAAAGAAAAGAAGGATAGAAAGAGTTTTACAGCACTTGCAACACAATTAGATCATTATTATTAGTGTCAAAGATTAGAGGTGTTACTTAACATTAATACACAAGAAAAAGGAGGAGATAAAAAGGGGCAATAGATCATTGACAGAAAAGAAGGCTCTAACCAAACTAGAGCACCTGCCCACTGTTTTTTTTTTTTTTTTAAAGAATAATATGTGAGGCAGCGTGGTGGAATCAGGCTCTCGTCAATTTGTGGGCATGTAGAGTTATTGGTATCATCTTAAAGCTTGTTCACTTGCCTTTATTTGGATGAAAAAAAATATCCATTTATCTTGAATACAAGTCGAGATATTTACGAAAGAAGGAGGTGGGGTGTCACCTGTTTTCAAATGTAAAATTAGGGAGAAAATGGCCGCCAAAAATTAGTTATTTCCTTAGTTTAAGAGTCCGTGGTAAATGAAAATTTACATTTTTTGTGCCTGTAATCAATGTTTTTCAGAAAAATCCACACAGAAATGAGTTCTTTAATTGGCATGAAAGGTGTTGAGCCAAAAAACAAAAATTTAATAACAATTCACAAACTGCGTAAAAATGCAAGTTTCTTCACTTTGATTATTTTGACGAGAGCCTGATTCCACCACGCTGCCTCACATAATATATTCATGTATGATGAAGGAAAGGCATGAGCAAACTATAACCCAGGGTCTAGATACTGCCCATGGACAGTTTCAGCCCAGTCTGCGATATGACGCAGTACAAACTGAGAAACAAAGAGACAGAACAGATTCAGTAATAAATGATTTAACACAGAGACAGACAAGACCCAGTACTGACAAAACTCAGAGACAGAACAGACTCAGTACTGACAAAACTCAGAGACAGAACAATCCCCAGGTAATAACTGACAAAACAGACAGACTGAACAGACTAGTAGACGTACATATCCAGCGTCCGTGGTATCCATCCCCGACAACTGACTCTGTAGTCGGTGCAGCTCGTTGCGCTCGGCGGTCATCCTCTCATGCTTGCGGTCAATGTCTGACTCCATCTGGGTCGCCTGGTCTCTCAGCTCGTTCACCTGGCCGGAGGGTCGGCGCATTGTGCGGGAGAAAACATATGTGTTATTATGTGGTAGAATCAAACAACATATGTGTCATGATGCGGTGGAATCAAACAACATATGTGTCATTATGAGGTGGAATCAAACAACATATGTGTCATTATGTGGTAGAATCAAACAACATATGTGTCATGACGTGGTGGAATCAAACAACATATGTGTCATGACGTGGTGGAATCAAACAACATATGTGTCATGATGTGGTGGAATCAAACAACATATGTGTCATGACGCGGTGGAATCAAACAACATATGTGTCACGACGCGGTGGAATCAGGTGCCTGTCAATTTAGAGGCATGTGGAGTTATTGGTATCATCTTAATCAAAGCCAGTAAATTCGCCTTGCTTTTGAAGGAAAAAATATCCATTTAATCTTTTGTACAAGTCGAGATATTGGCAAATAAAGGAGGTGGGGGGCGCCTGGTTAGAGAGGCAAAATTAGCGTGAAAATGTCCGCCAAAGTTGCGTTATTTCCTTCGCTTGAGATTCCGTGGAAACTGAAAATTTACATCTTTTATGCCTTGAATCAACGTTTTTTTCCGTAAAATCCACACAGAGGGCACAAAAGGTGTTGAGCCAAACAATAGAAATTGGATGAAAATTCCAAAACCTGTGGGAAAATGCCAGTTTCTTCCCTTTCATTGTTTTGACGAGCGCCTGAGTTCACTATTCTGCTTCACAAATAACATATTATTGGATAAACTCACCTAAAAATGCCAGCGATTTTGTCAAATCTGAGCTTCAATAGTATATAATCCCTGTATTTTACATGTGGCAGGTTGATAGGTGATTATTATTATTATTGTTGTTGTCGTTGTTGTTGTTGTTGTCATTGTTATTATTATTATTATTAGTAGTAGTATTATTATTATTATTATTATCATCATTATTATTATTATTATTATTATTATTATTATCATTAATAAAATTATTATCATTAGTATTGTCATTATCATTATTATTATTATTATACAATTATTATTATTATTATTATTATTATTATTATTATTATTATTATCATTATCATTATTATTATTATCATCATTATTATTACTATTGTCATTATTATTACCCCCAACAAGACTAGGACAATATACACACCTTTTGCATCTTGCGGGCCAGCCTCTGGCGTATCTTGTACTTGTTGTCGTCTCGGAACGGCTCTGGCGTGTTGCGATCCGTGGAGATTTTCTTGAGCTCCGTGGTGGCGTTCATCAGCTTCTTCTCTGTGGCCGACAGGTCGTCCTGCAGCGACCGCAGTCTCTCCTCCGCTGGGGGTGGACGGAAAATATGTGTCACAACGCGCTGGAATCAGGCGCTCGTCAATATTTGGACATGTGGAGCTATTGGTATCATTTTAAAGGTTCCTTATTAGCCTTGCTTTTGATGAAAAAAAAAATACTCATTTATGTTGAACAGAAGTCGAGATATTTGTGATTGAAGGAGGTGGGGTCGCCTGGTTTCAGAGGTAAAATCAGTGAGAAAATGGCCACCAAAGTGTGGTGTCTTCCATTGGGAAAGAGTTTTTGGAAACTGCAAATTTTCATTTTTTGTGCCTTTAATCAATGTTTTTCCATAAAATAAAATCCAAACATAAAAGTGTTTTTGAATGGACAAACAAGACGTTGAGCTAAAAAAAAAAAATTTGAAAAAAATTTCCAAACTGGAAAAAAATGTTGATTTCTCAGATTTCATTATTTTGACAAGTGTCTGATTTCCCTAACAGGACGTATGACAATAAAACAGTTGAATAATCTGGTTTCCAGAGGCAGAACTACTTATGAAAACTTCTGTGAATCAAAAATGTCAAGCAATGCAGGCCACACAGCTTTTAGAGGTGTCATGCGTCTCTGAGTGAAAAAAATTAATTAAATGGTGGATACACCTCAAAACTTCATCTGTGTTGGGAAAAAGAAATTGGTATTTCTAATTGACCATGCTGAACAGAGTTAATAAAAACCAATAAAGATTTCAACTGTCTTTGTTCTAGTAAGTGGTTATTGATCCAGAATGCATTGTTTTTATACTTTCTCCCCATTGTTATATTGCACAGGGTGGAGGTCTGTGTTCAAGTCATCTCTTAAAGCAGTAAACTAAATATCTTCTTTAGTTTAGTTTTAGTAGAGGTTTTACGGCGTTCACAACTGCATATGGTCATATGAGTGTCAATAAGTATCTTCATAATGAAGGGGTGAAGGGAAAGAAAGCGTGAAAAAGCAGGATGAAAATATGAGGACTCATAAACCTCTATCACATACCCTACAGGGACAAGGGATACAAATGATTTGCTTTTGGTACTGCAGGGGATGTACTCCCCATGTTTATGAGCGTGTATTATCCATAATCCGACTCACTCCTCTGAGAATCCCTGTGTTTTTGAGTATGTATTATCCGCAATTCGATGCACTTCTCTGAAACTCCCCATGTGTTTATATATATATTATGTATTATCCGTGATCCGACTCACTTCCCTGAACCCACCCGTGTTTTTGTATATGTATAGTATATCTGTAATCCGACTCACTTTTCTTGTTTTCGTATACGTATATTATCAATAATCCGACTCACTTCTCTGAGCTTCCCCATGTTTTTACATACATATATGTATTATCTTTGTATATGTATATTATATCCGTAATCTGACTCACTTCTCTGAACTTCCCCATGTTTCTTCTCTAGCTCAGCGTCCAGCTGTGAGTGCATCCTGTCTTTCGACGGGGGAGAGAGAGAGCGCTGTAGCAGGCCAGCCGCCGCTGGGGACGCACGCGCGCTCAACCCTCCGGGAGACGCGTGCATGCTGTGTATGTGAGCGCGCTGGGGCGAACCACTACCCACGCTGACCTCCTGTGCAAACTGGTTGGCACGAAAGCGGGCACGCCCGATGTAGGGACTTTCGTGAAGGTCACCACTATCGT